CGACGTCCACAAAATGGATATTTATTTTTCTTGGTAGCTCCCCTATTTCATGGAGGAGTTAGAAACAAATCACTGTTTCTTGTTCTTCTGTAGAAGCTGAATACTAGTCCATGGCTACAACTGCTTGTGAGTTAATTTGGTTGCACCAGTTACTTTCTGATTTGACTGTTTCTCCTCCTTTGCCTATCCAGCTATATTGTGACAATCAAGCAGCTATGCATGTTGGTAATAATCCGGTCTACCATGAGCGTAGCAAGCACATTGAAATTGATTGTCATTTTGTTCGTGATTGTATTTAGCGAGGTTTAATTGTAAATTGCTACATTGCCTCTCACAATCAATTAGCTTATCTTTTCATGAAGGCATTGGGGAAACAACAATTCCAGTTTTTGGTTAGCAAGTTGGGCGTTCGAAATCTCCATGCTCCAACTTGAGGGGGCGTATTGAAAACTACCTACCGAGATTCTCTCTTCTGTTTCCTAATTCTTTGCTATTTTGAAATCTCTTTTGTTTCCTAATTCTTTGCTATTTTGAAAACTCGAGAGATTTGCTCCTCTTTTTCCTTTGATTAGCCACAATTACTAGGGCTGTATTAATTATAAGAACCTCTCATATCAAGTAGATATTGTGATTGAGCCAGCTTTTTCAATATTGATGATGAGAACTGGAACGATGCAAACGAACCATGGATGCATTTTATGATCCACTTTTTAATTTTCTTCCTCCTAGCTCCTTTTATGCCTTCAGAGGTCAGTAGTACTGTACCGTTGATATCTTCAGAGAAGCAGAACCAAAGCAATGAGGTAATGGCATTGTTGGCTTTCAAGCATAGTTCTGTTGAAGTCGACCTGAATGGTTTCCTGGATAATTGGAATCCTGCATCTTTGAGTTCATTGGTTGGGGTCTCCTGCTCTCCTAGTGGACAGGTAGTGCACTCAACTTCACTTACGCTGGTCGGATTGGTCGTTTGCAAATTGATGGCCTCGTGGTTCTGGAAAATCTCCGGCATCTCTACTTGATTGGTAACTCGTTCTCCGATTGTCTGTTCCTCAAGAAGGTTTCTTACCCCTGCATCATTGAATCACTTGATTTGTAATTCAACAATTTGTCAGAGCCAATTTCTAAAACATTTTTTATCCTTGCAATCGTTTGACTTCATTAAATCTTTCACATAACTTGATCCCAGGGGATAGTTTTGACTTTGGGACTTCTCTCCTGGATCTTGATCTCTCAAGCAATCTCATTTCAGATTCCTCAATATTGAACAATTCATTTTTAAATTGTCAGATTTGAGACTGTTAAATCTCTCATATAACAAATTGTCTGCTAAACTTGTTGCCTTCTCGTCTTGCGGGAAGCTGTCAATTTTGGACCTCTCTAATGACATGTTCTCTGGAGATATCCTACCCTTCTAGGTTCTGATTCACCTGGGTCCCTTGAGTTTTTGGATATTTCTCATAACAATATATCTGGTACTTCTCTATTATTGAATTCAAGAAGTGTGTTAGGCTTTCGGTGCTCTACTTGTCATATAATGCTCTCTATGGCATAGGCATTCCTCATAGCTTGATCAACTACCGGCTCCCTGAGAAACTTGACCTCTCCCATAATGAGCTGATGGATAAAATTCCAGCTGCTTTGGGAATTTTGGGAAATTTGAAGCATCTAAATTTGGCACACAATGACTTCTCTGGTAATATCCCCCAGAATTGGGATGGACCTGTGGGACTCTAGAAGAGATAAACCTTTCAGGAAATAAAATCTCAGGTGAGTTTCCAGAGACATTTAAGTAGTATTTGCAAAGCCTCAATTCGGGAAACAAGCAACTCTCTGGGAATTTTCTCACTACAGTCATTACTACTCTTACTAAACTGGAAATCCTCCAAGTTCCATTCAATAACATTATTGGTCCTACACCTTCATCTCTAGGAAATATAACTAAGCTTCGAGTGCTCAACCTCAGTTCCAATGCTTTCACTGGAAATATACCCTCCGAGTTTAGCTCCTCTTCAACTTCCTTTTTCTCCCTGCAAAAATTACTACTTGCAGGAAATTTTCTATCGGGGCAAGTACCGTCAACGATCGGAAATTGCAAGAACTTGAGGACAATTGATTTTAGTCTTAACAATCTCAGTGGATCTATTCCACCAGATGTATGGATGCTGCCACATCTTTCTGACTTGAGCTTTTGGGGATACAGCTTTTCTGCTGAAATTCCAAAGGACATGTGCTTTAGGCGAAGCAATTTGGAGACACTTATTCTCAACAACAATCTCTTCAGTGGAACAATTCAGGAATCAGTAATCCACTGCAAAAATCTTATTTTGTTATCACTTTCCTTTAATCAGTGAAGTGGTGACATTCCTGCTCTAATTGGAACCCTGCAAAAACTTAGCATTCTGCAGTTAAATCACAATTTATTAACTGGGAGGATCCCTCCAAAGCTTGGCAGTTGGCAAAGCCTCATATGGCTTGATTTGAAAAATAATTCATTTCACTGGTAACGTTCCGTCGGAGCTTGCCAACCGAACAGGCATAGTTTTCAAGAATGATCGTGAATGGAAGTTTGCATATGTCAGAAATGAAGGTGAAATAAAAGGCTGCAATGTTGTCAATAATTTATTGTATTCAGAAGGAATCAGACCAGAAAGATTGGTTGGTCTTCTGGATTCTAACTCTTGTTCGTTAATGAGAGTTTATCATGGCTGGACTGTTTCCATGTCCACAAGCGATGGCAGCATGATTTACTTAAATATTTCTTGCAATTTCTTGTCCGGATCAATTCCAGATAACTTGAGTTCAATGTCCTACTTGCAATTTCTTTATTTGGGACACAACAGACTAACTGGAACCATCCCTGAAACCCTTGGTAGTTTGAAAGTATTGAGAGTTCTTGACCTACCTCATACTCAACTAGAAGGCAGAATTCCATCATCATTGGAGTTTCTACTATTACTCATTGATATGGATGTCTCCAAGAATAAGCTCAGTGGCACCATACCATCGGGAGGTCAGTTAGAAAAGCTTCCAGCATCCAGATTTGAAAACAATTCAGACTCGTGGTAAACCATTGCTCGCTTGTGACTCAAAGAAACCTAAAACAGATAATCCTTCTACTTTGCTGCGCAAAAACAAAAATGATAATTCTTCTACTGGGAGTGTATTTGATTGGATTTGGCTTGCTGCCTGGATGGGGTTCATTAATGGTGTAATAATTGGAGTGCACGCTGGACTTATTTTGTTTGAAGTAAAAGATCGACGGTTCATGAAGACTTTTCACATCACTCCACGACGAAGATCAGAACAGTTGTATAGTAGACAAAGGCGTCCACGCAGAAGGTGAGAATGCAGCAAAATTCTTTATCTTTATTGTAACTTCTTCCTCTGTACATAAGTAAAAAATTACCTTGCTGCTTGTTGGCTGTTACCGCGTAGTGAAAGTAATGCATGGAGTGAACTTAAACAAATCAAAAGTTTGATGCATTATCAAGCACAAATTAATGGATGATAATTTTTGTATGTGTGTGAATAATGATAATCTTCGCTTCCAAATGCCATCAGAGAACAATGATTTATATGGATTTCTTGCAATTTAAGCAGTAAGGTGTACAAATCAGTACTATCCATGAAGAAATTGACAACTATAATTAGTTTCACCAAAGAAAATTGATCCTAATGTATTAACTAGCCAGTATAAACAAATCTATTTAGGAGCCAGAGAAATATTAGAGATATCAAACGTATCGTACAATCAATCATTTGCATACTTAAAAATAGTTAATTGGGAATTTAAAATCATACGGACAAATATTTATTTAAATTCAAAATGATTCAAATTTGAAATCATTTAATCAGAATTCAATCTATCTTGCATAATTGTAGCGGAAGTCAACGACTGTTTGAAGATTGAAGGCTTAATTGTGGCGTCCATACGGCGTCAGTCTACTTTGCCAGTTTAGATTCTCTAAAACGCAGGCTAAGAAGTCGTTTAAATGAGTCTTGTAAATTGGTTGGCTGTTAAACGGTGGATGGCTGTGTCGTTTTACTTTTGGTTACAAGACACTTTTGATTGGTGTCGTTTTGATCTTCTCTTTTATTTCTAGCTTAACAGCAAATTTGTTTTTCTGCTATTGTTACCGTTGTGGTGCACAAGAACCAATGATTTGGCTTCTTTGCTATTTGTTTGAAATCTTGTTTTTCAGTACGTACTCTTACCGAGACTAGATCTAAGCTTAGTTGTTTAGTTTTGAAATCCTTGTATAAAAATCAAAACTGGGAAATGAATTGGTGTGTGAAAACCCATTTTCCAGAAAAACTTTTGAGCTCTCCTTCTTTCATTCGATATTTCTCTCCGTTCTTCTCCGATTTTTTCATCAAAACTCATAAAACTCAACACTGCATTCCTTCTGAGATGCTTAACTTGATTAATTAGTTAATTACTTACGAAGAAGTTTTCAACATTTTTGCATGACTAATTAGTGGTGAAATGTTGACTGGAGAGGTTTCATAGGAATAACGTTTGTGGAATAGTTTCACGTTTTCACTTGTTTTGTCAATGGCGTTATGGACAAGTTGATTTGATAAGACAAAACTGGGATTTCTGTCTATGGTGTACCGTTTGTCAATATGTCGTTGGAACGGTTCAGCCAAGAATCAAGACTAATCAGGATATTTTAACCTCTCCCTTGATTTGCCTCAAGACTTGTGGCTATTCTTAGTTTGAGAATATTCTGATCAGACGCGTAATCTGACTAACCAACTTAATTTCCGACGATGTTTCATTTTCGCATGCGTTTACTGCTTGTTATTGAACCCACTCGATACTGCCATTAGAAAATCGAAATTACAGTCTTACAGAGTCAAATGGATGTGACACATTTTAACAAGGGAAATTTCCTTGAAGTCTCTAAATACTGCACTAGTGGAATCACCACGTTTTGATTATGTCACTTTAAATGGGAAATCAGTGCCCTGTTCAACCAAAATCTTCCAGAATGAAAATAAGAGATTTCTGTTCAGTCAAGCGATGGATGCGTTGCTTCTGCTCCTTGATTATCATCTTCCTATCTGCATCTTCCACACCTTTGGAGGCTAGCAATAACTACACCCTGTCTTTGCAGCAACGGAATCGCCACAATGAAGTGATGGCACTATTGATTTTCAGGCATAAATCTGTTGATGCTGATCCTAAACGTTTCCTAGGTGATTGGAGCTCAGAATCATTAAGTCCATGTTCATGGCGAGGTGTCTTCTGTTCTCCCCATGGAAGAGTTAGCATGCTTAACTTCACTGCTGCTGGTCTGATTGGTCATTTGCATATTGATGATCTCGTAGCCCTAGAAAGTCTCCAACATCTCCACTTGAGTGGAAACTCATTCTCTGGCAATCTCTTCCTCAACAAGGCTTCGTATTCGTCCTGCGTTATTGAGACACTTGATTTGTCATTCAATAATTTATCAGTGCCGATTTCTGGAACATTTTTCGACTCCTGTGACCATTTAACTTCTTTCAACCTTTCAAATAACTTTATCCCAGGAGGTAGTTTCGACTTTGGCACTTCTCTTGTAGAGCTTGATCTCTCAAGCAATCTGATTTCAGATTCCTCAGTATTGGACTACTCTCTTTCAAGTTGTCAGAATGTGAAGCTGTTGAATCTGTCACATAATAAAATATCTGGGAAACTTGTTAATCTCTCGTCTTGCGTGAATTTATCAATTTTGGACCTCTCTGATAACATGTTATCTGGAGAGATCCCTGTTGCTCTCTTTTCAGATTTCTCCAGGTCCCTTAAGTATTTGGACCTTTCCCACAACAACTTCTCTGGTAATTTCTCAATGCTTGAATTCAAGAACTGTGCTAATCTTGAGACTCTAAACTTGTCTAATAATGTTCTTTATGGCATTGGAATTCCTCAAAGCTTGATCAACTGCCAGCTTCTTGAGAACCTTGATGTCTCCCGTAACAAGCTGCAAGATAAAATTCCTGCTGCTTTGGGAAAATTGGGAAATTTGAAGCGCCTGAAATTAGCACACAATAACCTTTCTGGTAATATCCCCCCAGAACTGGGTTGGACTTGTGGGACAACTAGTAGAGCTCGATCTTTCAGGAAATAAAATTTCAGGGGGGTTTCCTGAGACATTTAAGTCATGCAATGCCTTGCAAAGGCTCAACCTTGGAAACAATCAACTTTCAGGAAATTTCCTTTCTGCAGTCATTAGCACTCTTCCTAGTCTACAAATCCTCCAAATTCCATTCAACAACATTAGTGGTTCCATTCCTCTATCACTTGGAAACTGTAAGCTTCAAGTCCTTGACCTTAGTTCCAATGCCTTCACCGGAGATATACCCTCGGGGCTTTGTTCCTCTAATTCAACCTTCTCTTCCTCTCTACAACGATTACTCCTTGCAAACAATTTTCTTTCAGGAACAGTACCTTCAGATATTGGAAACTGTAAGAACTTGAGGACAGTTAATTTTGCACTTAACCATCTAAGTGGATCCATTCCATCAGAAGTGTGGAAGCTACCAAAAATTTATGACTTCGTTATGTGGGGAAATAACTTCTCTAGCGAAATTCCAAATGACATATGCTTTGGCACAAGCAACTTGGAGAAGCTTATTCTCAACAACAATCTCTTCAGAGGAAACTTTCCGGTATCACTCACCAACTGTACAAATCTTACTTGGTTGTCACTATCATTTAATCAGCTAACTGGAAATATTCCTGCTTCTATTCAGAATCTTCAAAAACTCAGTATTCTGCAGTTAAGTTCTAACTCATTTTTTGGGAATATCCAAACCAAGCTTGGCAGTTGTCAAAATCTCATGTGGCTTGAGTTGAGTAGTAATCAGTTTACAGGTCAAATTCCATCAAAACTTGCCAACCAAACAAGCTTGGATCCCATGTTCACTTACAAAGGGGGGTTTTTATTTTTGAGAGACAAAGGAAGAAGTGATTGTAGAATGCGCAATACTTTAAGTTATTCTGAGGGAATCAGTGGAGAAAGCTTGCAGAAAAGTTTGGATTCTAATTCTTGTTCATCAATAATAGTGTATAGTTGGCCCAATCACTTGTTCAAAAGCGGTAATGGCACCATTTTATTCTTAGATCTTTCTTTCAATCGCCTTTCAGGAACTATTCCTGACGGCCTCGGTTTAATGTCTGACTTGCACGTTTTAGATTTGGCACACAACAGATTAACTGGATCTATTCCAAAAACCTTTGGGAGTTTGAAAGAAGTTTGCTTGATTAACCTGTCTTATAATCATCTTGAAGGCATGCTTCCAGGATCATTGGGGCAAATCTCATTTCTCTCTGACTTGGATGTCTCGAATAATAATCTCACTGGTCCTATACCTCCATCAGGTCAACTTACAACATTTCCAGCATCCAGATATGAAAACAATCGAGGCTTATGCGGAATCCCATTGCCCCCTTGTGGCTATCAGCCTGGAACAGACCCCATCAGTTCCGAGCAATCTCAAAAAGGAAAAAACCATTCCATACTGAGTAGCTTTGAATATTGGATGTGGGTGATTGCTTTCATGGGATACATTGCCGGTGTATCAATTGGAGTTTGTGTTGGAAATATTATGTTTCAAGACACAGAGGAATGGTTCAGTAAAACAAAGCTTATGATCATCTCAAAATGCAGAAGAATCAAAAAAAGCTGGAGGATAATAGACAGAGAACATCCATGACAGAATGGGAAAGTGGAATACAAATTAGGATTTTGTAAGGGACTTTCTTGCTGTTCAAGAATCAAACATATCCAGAGGTAAATCATCTCTCCTACGCTACTGCTCCAAATGTTAAATATCCAATTGTTTGTCAGATAGGTAATTAATGCTCTTTGACATTTACTAACTATTGACATATATGGTTTTTTAGGGGTGGTTGCGCTCTTAGTCCTCTTGGGAGGTTGCCCGAAATTTGACAGTGGAAAATCATCTATATTTGGCACCTAAATAATACCTCCTTCCCCCATGTTGCCTGTGGACTTGCTGTACAGTGAAAGTAATGTATGAAGTCAACTCAATAAAGAGATTGAAGATCATCTTTAGTTCTTTTACATGTGTAAAATCTTGAACACTGATGTAAAGAGATTGATAAGAAAGCTCCTTTCATGCCCAAATTACCATTGTTCACAAGATGTTTGAAATTAATTTGTTGCAAATTTTGATATGATCAACTTTCAAAGTAAACTTTACAGGCTGCTTTTCCATCAATTTCAAACTCTGAATTTTATAACTATTTTGTTCAAATTATGATATATCTTTTTGGATTTTTTCTATTGTAAAAAAATCGATAACAAAAGTTAACAAATATAATTAATAAGATTAATGGTTACTATGCACAAATAATCTTTAACAAATATAAATTTGAATCTCTTAAATATTAGTATATAAGAGTGCAAATAGTGAACATATATACATATATATATATATATATATATATACACTTTTGACAATCTATTCAATTAACTATTTTATCCTTAATTAATGATTTTCATACTAAATTGAAATATTGACTAATTTTTACTTATTTTTTATTAATATTGAAATTCTTATTAAATTAAATATTAAATATTGATTATTTTTTACATTTATGTTCTGTCTTCTTTTTCCTTGATAGTTCCATCTTACTAGCCAAGTCAACTGCAGCACCTTTTCTGTTTAGAATACGACTTCATTTGTTCCTAGGCTAAAAATAGAAAAGCGAGTGCAATCTCTGGCCCCAGTTTTATTTTATACTCGATTTCAATTTTAATTTAGGTTTATGAATTTTATTGAAATTCAAATTAATAAGAAGTCTTTATGTCACGTTACCGAGAGCCTCTTGTTTCAAAAAACTACGCCGTCTGTAAGTGATTATATTAATGATAAATTCAAGACTCAAAAGCCTAAGGTCTAGCTTACATAAGGCTAAATACTCAAATTGAAGCAAAATATTTGGATAGGTTTTTAATGAATGGTCAAACGTTTCAATTATAATATTTAAAAGTTAAATATTTTTAATTTTTTACAATTAAAGATTAAGTTGACAGGTAGATAAAGCATGTATCATATGTGATAAAAAATCTCATGCGTTAATGACATGACATATTAAAAAATGTTATTATTACTTTTCGTGAAAAAATTATTATTAATGTTAAGTTGAAAAATGTAATACTACATACCATGTTCTAAAATTTAATTGTTACACGTTATGTTGGAAATAATTGTTACGCATCATATTGAAAATGTAATTATTACACGTCATGTTGAAAATTTAATTATTATACACCATGTTGAAAAATGTAGTTGTTATATATTATGTTGAAAATTTAGTTGTTACACGTCATGTTGAAGATTTAGTTATTACATACTATGTTGAAAATATAGTTGCTACATGCCATATTAAAAATTTAATTGTTATACATCATGTTGAAAAATATAGTTGTTACACATCATGTTGAAAATTTAATTCTTGCACGCTATGTTGAAATATATAATTGATACATGCCATGTTGAAAATTTAATTGTTACACATTATGTTAAAAAATTTAGTTATTATACATTATAATAAAAAATTATTACACATCATGATATAATTTGAATAGTTTTAACTTAATAAAAAAGACTTTTTAACAAAATTACCCTTTCATATCTTACACGATAAGTTAATGTCTAATCCTATACATGCCAAACACCTCTCATCTTAACTCTTAACTGTAAAGAACCGAAAATGTTTAATTTTTGATTGTTACAATTGAAATGTTTGACCTTAAATTAATAAAAATCTAAAACTTTTGATCCCAAATTGAGCATTTAGTCGTTTACATAAATACACTGACTTTGGAAATCATGGATGAATAATCATCCTATTAAACCTATTTACATCCTGCACCAAAGACAACTGGAATGGTTCATACTTTTTGTAGGTGAAATCCCAAGGGAATTGAGAAGACTTGTCCGTTTGGAGAGGTTTGCAGTTGAGAACAGTGGGGTGACAGGACGAATTCCATTTGAAATGTTCAACATCTCTTCCTTGAAAGACTTTCTGGTGATGAATCGTAGGTGGCATTTGGTACATTACAATACAATGTGATTGCAGGTAATGTGATTGCAAGCAATGTGATTACAGGGAAAATAACATTACAGTGTTTGGTATATAAGTAAAATAATGATTAAAATGCAGGGAAGATAACATTGCAGTATTTGGTTTACAAGTACTTTAGTGGGAATGTAATGTTAATTGTCAAAATTACCCTTAATTATTAAAATATAAGTTTAATATATTTATATTTTTTGTTATTAATTTTTATATAATATCATTTCTTAATATATTTTTAATATCATATATTTTATTTTTTATTTATATATAATATTTTATATTTTATTTTAATATATTTATATTTTTATTATTAATTTTTATATAATATCATTTCTTAAATATATTTTAATGTCATTATTTTATTTTATTTCTTATTATAATATTTTATATTTTATTTTTAATATATTTATATTTATATTATTAATTTTTTATATAATATCATATTTTAAATATTTTTAATATCATATATTTTATTTTTGTTTATTATTATAATTTTATATATTTTATTTTTAATATATTTATATTTTTATTATTAATTTTTATATAATATCATTTCTTAAATATATTTTTAATGTCATGTATTTTATTTTTATTTATTATTATAATATTTATATTTTATTTTTAATATATTTATATTTATATTATTAATTTTTATATAATATCATATTTTAAATATATTTTTAATGTCATATATTTTATTTTTATTTATTATTATAATTTTATATATTTTATTTTCATTTCTTTAATATATTTTTATATTATATATTTTATTTTAATTGTTTACCTATATTATATAAATATTAATTTTATTATTTTATTTTATTTTAATTTTTATTCTTATATTATATATTTATATTTAATATTTTTATTTTAATTATAATATTATAAAATATTTTTAATAGGGTAATAAAATTGAAGGGTAAAATTATCTTTAAAAACATTGCACTCTGCAATGTAATGTGATTGCGTTGGTTTTGGACTGCAATCACATTACATCCATTGGCTGTAATGTGATTGCATTGCAATCTTACATTGCAGTAATCTGTTACAAAACAAACACTGCAATGTAATTTAATAAATCACATTACAGGTAATGTGTTTTACATTGCAGTGTATCAAACGGACCCGTAACGTATCGGGCATCCTGCCACCAAACCTTTGTCACCGTCTTCCTATTCTGGAAAAGCTTTTTTCTCTTTAACAACAAGCTCGATGGCAGCTTAGCTGCAGATATTAGCAATTGTACAATGCTTTACCTACTTCACCTCGGCAGTAACAACTTTACAAGTAATTAAAGTTTATGAGTACATTTCATTATTTGATGGATTTATGCATAGCAAATCTCATAAAATCTTACAAACATTAATATTCCTTGTTCATTAAATTATCTATGGCTTTGTTATGATAGTCTTGAAATGTTGTTTGACTAGAATAATTTAATTATAGTTAAATTTGTATATCTTGTTCAATAAGTTTTTAATTTTAATTAGATTAGGACATCAATCTTAATTAGATTACGATAAGATTATTCTATTTTTATTTTTTGAAAGGCGAATTTTATTGATTATTGAATCAGTACATGGAAATGCATTTGCCATTCCCTCATCAAACACAAACCAAAAATCAGAACCAATGCCTATAGAATCATTCAGCTCTCCCTTATTTTCCTCTACCTTTCAACTTTGCCCAGATTCCCTATAATGAAACTCACAAACTTTAACAGAAGCAAATCCCATAATTGCAAAACAAAACCCATACCCTGTCCATAGACATGAACTGCCACTAATGATCATATCCAGGCCTTCAAGAAGTTGTCTTCTTCCACGCTGCTTTTGACAAGGGTAACTACATACCTGCGAGCTTCCCTGTAAATGATTGACAAAACGCACACACCCAATCAGCTCATTCATCTCAACCATCTACTGGAACAACTAATAGCCACACTTGAATTGGATTCCACCATCAAAAGCTCCACACCTACCCACTCAAAGTTGCAAAACATTTCCAAAGCCACTTTAGTTGTCATCAACTCTGCATAATTAGACTCCCACACCCTCACTAGAGTTGAAAAAAAAGCCATCATATTTACCCTATTATCCCTCACCTTGTGGTGCACAAATATTACCTCTATCCTTATGCCTGTCCCCACTTTTGTTTCCTGAAACAATATCATCTGTACCTTAGTTTTTTGTACTTCCCTCCTCACAACCCCTCTCTTTTCCTCATTCCCCAAACATCTCACTTTCCACAAAAGCACCTCATTGTACCTTCTCACTTTCAAGGAGTTTTACTCTTTTGATTCAACAGTTTTACCCATCTTGAGTTGGTATTGGGTACTATCACTACAACAAAATTGAGTTTTCATCACCTTTCTTGCAGCTATTTAAACTTTTAATTTCATTTTTTTCACATATAATAACAATATAAAAAAAATACAGTTTTTGCTAGTATATGCAATATTTATAGTTATATTTTATTTATAATACATCTAAAAATTTATATAATAAAATCAGATTTACAAAAATATTTTAAAAATTATAAAAAAAGTGTTATTAAATATATTTTTTGTATCATGTTTTAAAAATATACTGTTTTAAGTCAAATTTGTTATAGTGTGATGTTTGTGGGTTTGTTTATGCTGTTTTATGGTTGATTCAAAGGTGATGATTTTTTGTTGAGCAGCATATGGCAGTGGTTGCATACAGTGAAGGTTACTAAATTGAAGGGTGGTTTTAGTATCTTCATTTTACTTTGATTTTGGCTATTAGAGGTTGTGAGTTTCTCATGTCTATTTTTGAAGTCTACGGCTCTTGGCTAGTATTTTTCTTCAATTATGTAATGGGGTATCCCGGATTCATATTAATGAATTATTTATCAAAAGAAAAAAAAATCATCCACGATAAGTGTCACAAAAAATATTTTTATTAAAACAAAAATTCTTACGAAATAATTGATAAATTTTGTTTCAAAAAAAGGGTCATCACAGCTACTTTCAAGAAATCGAAAGAATTTAATTATTGCGCGTCAAAAGTGAACATAACGGACGAATTTTCCACCATGACTTTGACATATCGCCCACAGAAGTCTAGTCAAGCGAGTAAATTGCAATGGACTCTTGTTAAGTATTGGTTCACGGTGCCAACCTGCCAACTCCACTTGTTTCTCTTCAAATTTTAATGATAAGTATTCGTTACAGTGCCCATCTGTCTGTATCGGATGGTGGCCCTCCTGACCTTTAAGAGTCTTTCAAAGCTTTTTGACTGGGAATGTCCAATTGGTAGAGACCTCAGAGCTAGACCCAAAAGGCGTTCCAGTCATCGTTGTGAAATGAAGTACGATAAGTCTGTCCAATGGCTGCAGGCAGCTGATGGTCGCCGTTACAGCTCTACCGAAGGCCGATCTGTAGGTCACGTGACCTGCACCGGGTTGGTGGCTTACTGGGCTTTTTCCTTAGCCACTTATTTCTTTTCAAATTGCAAATCACTTCATAGCCAAAAAAAAAAAAGTGGTATTACATAGTTTGGAATACTCTTTTTTTTTTTTTAACTCCTTTTCCTTCTTGGAACATCAATTTACATGGGGAAACATTGCCATCTATTTAGTATAGCTTTGGTCATTTCCATTCAATGTTACAATATAGTTTGTCTCTCTGGTCAGCTGGCTCTTAATCGTGCCGATGAGGAAGCCCTTCTTGCCTTGAAAGCTCACGTAATTCTGGATCCTGAAAACATATTGGCCAAAAACTGGTCCAGTTCTATTTCATTTTGTAATTGGTTTGGTGTTTCCTGCGGCCCCCGGCACAAACGAGTCACAGCCTTGAGTCTTCCTGGCATGAGTCTCAATGGCACCCTCCCTCCGCAGCTAGGAAACCTTTCTTTCCTCACAACCTTGGACCTCCGAGACAACAATTTCCATGGCAATCTGCCCCCTGAGTTGGCTAAGTTGCGCCGTCTGAAATCTATGATTTTGTTAAAGAACTACTTCAGTGGAGAAATTCCAGAACAAATAGGCTATCTTCCTCGGCTGCAGGACCTGTTTTTGTCAGCCAATACACTTTCTGGCTCCATACCATTGACAATCTTCAACTCGTCTTCATTGAAAAGGATTGTTTTGGCTACTAATAACCTTGAAGGAAGTGTTCCAGATGATTTGTGTGACCATCTTCCAGTAATTCAGATGCTTGAGATTTCTTTCAACAACTTATCAGGAAAATTTTCGCCAAACCTGGAAAGGTGTAGGCCGCTTCAGATCCTGGGTCTGTCAAACAATAGATTCACAGGAACCATACCTAGAGAATTTGGCAACTTGACTATGCTTAAGGAGTTATATCTTGGATTTAACAACTTGGAAGGTATCATTTCTATACCTCATAGTCCAAGCATACTTTAAATTATATCATTAAAAAAATTACTTAAATTCCATAATTTGTTAATTATTGTTGAAAATCTAGTGAAGATTATGCTTCAAGTAATACAACATCTATTATTCCAATTTACTGGTCTTTTTATTTCACTTTATTAGTATTATTATTTTTTGTCAAAGCTAATTTGTCTTTCATCGTTATTTTATAATACATGATGTAGAATTAAAATTAAATAAATAAACCTAAAACATCATTTTTCTTGAGAAAATTAAATACACGTACAAGTAAAAATAACAATTATAATCAATTAATTCTTAATATTAATAAAATAACACTTAATAGACAAAAGTAATTATTTTTATGGGATAAAACTAAATACTAGTTAATATTCAAGTAGTTGGAACTTGAAATTTCGATGAATTTCAAGCTCAAATCATGGAATATGAGAGATGACTATCCCATGAAAACCAAGTGTGTGTGTGTGTATGTATGTATGTATGTATGTATGTATGTATATTAGCTAGTAAGATCATGGTTACAAAGAACAAACGGAACAGAGGAAGTAAGATTTAAATAAAGGAGAGTAATGAACAATAATTATAATGGTCAAAAATAATTTAATTTTGACTGTGAATGTGATTTTCATTGCCAAATGCTAAGTTTTAATAATGAAATAATCTACTTGAAAATATTATAATAGAATTTTATGTTACTACTTAGATTATTGACCCTTAATGCTGCAATTTTAATAGTGAATATCTATTTGAAAATTCTAAATTCAATTTTCAAAATTAAACTTCATTATCACAAATAGGAATAGACGAGAAATAGTATCATTAGGAGAAATCAATAACTCTGTTCCTATCCCTAACATTTTTTAGCCACCAAGCAGATTAAAAACAGAGTTTTATGGTGGTTGTGATGCGGGCTTTGCCTGCAAATCAATTAAAAGTTTTAAGAATAGTTATATATTTTTGTAACCGATTAAATTGACAAATAATTAAAATATAATATCAGTTGTAAATTGAGTAATTAATTAATCTATGTTAAAAAGGAATCATACATTATATCTCTAATTAATTAACTAAAAGGAGATTTGATTTTATGAAGCTTGAGTTGACACAGATGGTTGGAATGGTTCATAATTTTTGTAGGTGAAATCCCAAGGGAGTTGAGTAGACTTGTTCGTTTGGAGAGGTTTGCAGTGGAGAACAGCGGCCTGACAGGACGAATTCCATCTGAGATGTTCAATATCTCTACCTTGAAAGACTTTGTGGTGATGAACAATAGCGTATCGGGCAGCCTCCCACATGACCTCTGTCACCGTCTTCCTAATCTGGAAAAGGTTTTTTTCTTTAACAACAAGCTCGATGGCAACTTTCCAGCAGATATCGGTAATTGTACAATGCTTCAGCAACTTCGCCTAGGCAGGAACAACTTTACAGGTAAGGTTTACGAGACTTCTTGATTATTGTCTGTGTACAATTCATTACTTGACGGATATGTGCATAGGAAAACCATTTTTTCATAGCATTCTACAAAGATTGCTAAGATTTGTAGCTTGCACTTGTGCATGTATCAGTTTAACCTGATGAGTTGATTTTTCCATTTTACACAAAGGTAATCTATCTGTATGCTTCAGGAAGCCAGTAGGCTTAAGTTCTACTTGAATTAATATAATGAAAGCATGTAAATAAAAAACGTAAGTCTTTAGCCAAGGGAGACCCTCTCTCAAGGCAGGACAAAATCTTTGAAATCATTAAGTGCTAAGTTCAAGTCTCACTATGTGAATTTGTTTTAACTTATGTTGGATTTTCTCTTGGTAGGCGTAATACCGCGGGAGATAGGTAATCTCAAACATCTTGAGATATTGAGATTGGCAATCAACAGTCTAACGGGCCCGATTCCACCAGGAATCTTCAACATGTCAACACTGAAAGAAATTTCATTAGCTCAAAATTATTTTTCAGGTAATCTTCCATCTGATATTGGCACAGGGCTTCCAAATGTTGACGAACTAATGGTTGGGGCCAATAAACTCAGTGGAAACATCCCTGATACTATCGGCAATGCTTCTAAACTAGCTTTTCTAGAATTTAGTGAGAATCTCTTCACCGGTACCATACCCAAGTCCTTAGGTAATCTAGAATCTCTTTTGTTGCTTGGCCTAGCAAATAATCATTTCATCAATGATCCATCCACTCCAGAATTGAGTTTTATCACACCTTTGGCAAAGTGCAGACAACTAAGGACTTTGGCAATAGCACAGAATCCCCTAGTTGGAGTATTCCCACCCTCTATTGCAAATTTGTCAACTTCTCTTGAAATTTTTGATGCCTCTGGTTGCAAAATCTTTGGTAAAATACCCGGTGGGTTTCGCAATTTAAGCAACTTGTTCTCATTAAGCCTAAGCAACAATGAGTTGACAGGACCAATCTCTAATATATTCCAAAATTGGACAAACCTGCAAAGATTGTATCTTAGTGGCAATATGTTTGAGGGAACCATACCAGATGGACTATGTCACTTGAGGAACTTGGGAGAACTGTTTTTGGGTGATAATAGATTTTCTGGACCAATTCCAAGGTGCTTTGACAATCTTACGTCTCTAAGAATTATCTTGTTAAACTCTAACAATTTGTCTTCAAATATACCTTCTACCCTTTGGAATCTTAAGAACCTCTTGGTTTTGAACCTATCATCAAATTCATTGAGTGGCTCTCTAGCTCCAGAAATTGGAAATTTGAAGGTGTTAACGCAAATAGATCTGTCCAAGAATACATTAGCTGGTCATATCCCACCCAATTTCGGTGATCTCAAAGACTTAACTAGTCTTTCTCTGGCACATAATAATTTGCAAGGTTCCATTCCTGAATCCTTTGGCTACATGGTGAGTATGGAATTCTTAGATCTATCGGGTAATAATCTCTCTGGAGTCATTCCTAAGTCCTTGGAAAGGCTTTCCTTTCTGAAATATTTGAATGTGTCTTTTAATACACTAGAAGGAGAAATCCCAAATGGAGGACCTTTTGGAAACTTCTCAGCTAGATCATTCATTAAAAATCATGCACTTTGTGGGTCTCCTCGACTGCTAGTCCCACCTTGCAATTCCAGCACCTTTCGAAGATCCAGGACAACCACTATGCATGTATTGAGATATGTTTTACCAACAATCTCTTTAATAATATTGGTAACAGTCCTGTTTATTGTCTTCAAAAGGTATCAGAATAAGAAAACAAATCCACCAGCAGTAACGGAAGATTCATTACCTTTGGCAACATGGAGAAGAGTATCGTACTATGAACTTTTACAAGCAACGGATGGATTCAGTGAATCCAATTTTATTGGATCGGGGAGTTTTGGCACTGTCTATAGAGGGACACTTCAAGATGAGATGACTGTTGCTATAAAAGTTTTCAATTTGCAGCTAGAGGGAGCATTTAGAAGCTTTGATGTTGAATGTGAAGTAATGCGCACTATTCGTCATCGCAATGTCGTGAAGATCATTAGCAGTTGTTGTACGATGGACTTCAAAGCCTTGGTGCTTGAATTCATGCCTAATGGAAGCCTTGAGAAATGGTTGTATTCTCCGGAGTATTTTCTTGATATCATGCAGAGATTAAATATAATGATTGAAGTCGCATCAGCACTAGAATATCTCCATTTTGGAAATTCAACACCTGTAATCCACTGTGACTTAAAGCCAAGTAATGTCTTACTTGATGAAGAAATGGTAGCTCATGTTTGTGATTTTGGCATCGCCAAACTCTTGGGAGAAGGGAATTCTCTGACACAAACCATCACACTTGCCACTATGGGGTACATGGCACCAGGTGATGTTTCCAGGTTTCTAATTCATGGTTTCAAGTTTGTGTTATCTTACATCCCTGTGGGGCGCATCAGCATTTTAAGTCGTTTGTTCCTTCTAAAAGGATTTTATTATTTTACTGATTGATTGAAAATTAGTTTTAACTAAAGCGTATTATCTCCATATTGATTTTCTTCTTTAGTAATTCAATTGTACTTAATTTACAGAGTATGGATCAACCGGAGTTGTTTCTACAAGAGGAGATGTTTATAATTATGGTATTCTGGTGATGGAAACATTTACGGGAAGGAAGCCTACAAATGAAATGTTCGCTGGAGAAATGAACCTCAAAAGTTGGGTGAAAGAGTCGTTGCCTCATGCGATAACCGAAGTAGCAGATGCCGCTTTGTTGGGAGAAAAGGAGGAAAATTTCATGGCTAAAACAAGTTGTATATCATCTGTTTTGCAGTTGGCTCTAGATTGTTGCGCAGAATCACCAAGAGAAAGAAAAGATACGAAGGATGTTGTCGTGACGCTTGCAAAGATCAAAGAAAAGTTTCTAAAGGCTATCGGATGAACTCAATCTTTGTATTTATGAAATCTTGATAGCTGGTGTAAACTGTAATGAGAACCTAAGAACTCATTGTGTTTTCATGATGGTTGAAAGCTGCAGCCTGCAGGCACTGCCCAAATAATCGTCTATGACGTTATTAAAATAAATTTTGGCAAATTTTATGAGATCAAGTTTCAAAGTGCTTTCATCAGTTTCAAATATGAAAAATTACTCATACCTAGGCCTTTTTCACTTCAAAAC